GCACTGACCATTCAAGATCAAAGAATTCTTGAATATAACCCTAGTACAACTTTGCTTTTCACTGCCATGGTCCAAGTCCAAAATAGAGAACACTCATATGAGCAATAATTGAGCCTTGGTCACAATTTCAATTATCATAGAAAAACTTAAAAATAAGTTGAATTTGCCAAAAAAAAGAACTTCATCAACATCTATCCTTTTCATTCTTCGTTCTAGTTTAGACCCAAAAGGCTCCAATAACATATCAGTGTTCAATACAACTGTAATTGAGAATTTATTTCAAGTTTTTTGGGAGGTGGAAGAGCCCCCAAATAGAGTTTTGCGGAAGAAGAGGACTTATTCTACGAGCAAAACCAATCCAGCAACAACAACACTAAAAAAAGAAAAACTGTGAAGAGGACAGTTCTATAGAATGGAGAAAAAGCTTTCAAAGACACCTGAAATAAAGGATTCATATGACAAAACGATATTTGAATACTATGATCTGAGACATATGAGAAAACTTTCACAGGAAGAAATATATCAGACCCCAAATTACTATTTGCCACACAACGCTGTCATCAAACTACATCGCTTGAGTACTAAGCTTACAGTAGTATTTAATGCTTTAAGCCCTACTTCAAATAAAAAAACAATTTTTTCGATGGACCAATACTCAAACCGGATCTCGTTTTGCAAATATTGAAGATGCAATAATATTGCAGATTATTTAAGTATGTTTACAACGCCGATATTACGGAAATGTACCGACAGATTACATTGGATAGAAGTCAGACACGATTCCAAAGAAATCTAATTAGAAGATCTTTTACTGACCCGGTGAACTTTTAACAGTCATTTCGAACCCAGAGCATCCGAAATCATTTTACAAAGCTTATGTGTAGTTTAAGTCCTAGCAGGAGGAAATCCAATACAAGAAGCGGTAGCATCACGCAGGGAACCAATGGCAACTTTCGAATCTGCGGGTTTTGAACTCAGAAAATCATTAGAGACTTACCAGAAGATCACCTTTTACCCCTAAATTGGGTAAATATATCTGAAAATGCTTCCACTAGGACCCTGGGGATTAGATGGAATATCTCAGGAGATTGTTTCTCTTTCAAATTAATCCCTATTAAAAACAAACCCAACAATACAAAAAGAGAAATTCTATCCACCATATCCAAGTTATTCGACCCCTGTGGTTGCTACACCAATTATGCAACAGATATGGCAATACTAAATAGATTAGGATGAAATTCTTAAAATAACGACACTATTGAACTGGAAGAATTTCATAAACAATTCTTGAAAAATTGATTGTCTCACTATACCTAGATGCTTAAAATATTTCAACAAGTCAGATAGAAATTCATGGATTCTGTGACACCTCTGAAAGCGCATGCGGCGCAGCTTTGCTTATTTGAGTGAAGAATTACAATGATAGCGTTGACACATTCCTTTAGTTTCCAAAACAAGCGTTGTCCCGTTAAAAAAGATTTCATTACCAAAACTTGAACTATGCGGGGCAGAACTTTTATGAAAATTAGCCACTTCTATAATTACCAACCTTCAGACGTCAAATATTGGTAATCATTTTTGGACAGAGTCAACAATTTTTTTAGCCTGGCTCAGAAAGCTTCCGTGTCATTGAAACACGTTTGTAGGCAACAAAATATCAGAATTTATTGAAAACGTGAGTAACGAGCGATACGCCATGTTGACTCTGAAGCAAATCCCGGTGATGTAGCAAGTCGAGTGAGTACACCGATCGACTTAAAGCAATATAATATATGGTAGCAAGGTACAGTGGCTAAAATATCCAAAAACAAGTTGGTATTTGAATAACGTGGCAATAGAGCAAATTTAGAAAAGAAAGTGGTTAAAATGCTTGCTCTTACCAATATTACTGACGATGCCACGGATGAGCTTATAAAAACGATCCTTTAATAAACTTTCCATCCTTGTCCAGACCATATGCCTTCGCCATGCGGCATTATGAAAGACAAGTACCGAAATTAAGCCTGCTAAACGGGTAATTATCCCAACAACATTATTGTGCAAACGAGTACAAACTATAGCATCGAAAATCGAAACTTTCACCTAGTAGTAGTCCCCTGACTTTAAACTCATATATTTATTACAATGGCATTATTAGATTCAATGGTCGTCTCGTAATCACCTGCTTTGACTGAAAATGAAAGACACCCAATCTTGTTTCCTTATATATCCAATTGTCACAACTATTGGTAGAATTTACATACACAATAACATTGCACTGAGGAAATTAACACATGACTCGAATTTTACGTTCTGAATATTGGATATTCATTGGATAACTCCGCCAAAAAAATAAATAACGTCTGTCCGATCCTTTATCAAAATGTTAGAGAATTAAATACTAAGCTTAGAGATGTTTTCTTTAAAAGTTTCTTTTCTGAATAAATAATTGCTTTCACTTCAACGTGGTTAAAATCTAATACCTTGGACAATGAGTTATTCTCTGATAATTATCAAGTCTACAGAAAACACATATTATTGAGAAAAGGTGGTGGAGTTCTATATTCATAATTCGAATAATTCCGAAATTATTGATATCTCAGCATATCCTGTTAGCGAATTTATCTGCTCAAAATTAAATATCATTGGTAATACTGTTTACTTAATCCTTATTCTAAGCTCGAAATTAATTGGAACCATGCTGCTTTACTTGTATTACTTACAGAATATTCTTCATTAATTTGTGTATGGGATTTAACCTTACCTGGTTTCTTGGACTTCAGGTGACAATATTATAGATTACATACCTCAGACTTACCAAACTGGATTTGATATCTTTTGGGATAAGATATGTTAGCTTTGTCTGTACCAAGTAAACTATATGTCAAATGTTAAAGACAAGTTGTTATACTTAATTTTTTTATCTTGATTGATTATTTAGATTTATAGTTGCTCTCCCCATGTATTTCCTGACGACAGCTAACATCCTACGCTGTTGATAAACTTCGCATTGAGAAACTCTTTTCTTAATTTAATTTCTGCTAATCCTTTTTAGGATAGGCGTAACTTTGAGAAAACAAACCTTATTATATGTATGTGTTTATATATATATATATATATATATATATATATATATATATATATATATATATATATATATATATATATTGCAACCACGGATCTTTTCACCGAATCATTTTAACCGCTTTCGCTCGGAAAAGTTTTCCTAAGCTTAATTTCACTTTCGAAGAATTTAAAACGATACTAATTTGCATAAAGGCTTTGCATTCAAGACCTTGAAGTCCGGAAAGTGACGACCCTAGTGAAATAACTAAATTAACTCCGGCGCATTTTCCAATCGAGTCGCCTGTGTTAGAACCAGCAGAACCTGATATTCCTGACTCAGATATTTCGTACGTTAATCGTTGAAAACGACTTAGAATCATTACACAAAATTTTTGCCATAGACGGAAAACTGAATACTTCACCTAAATATCAGGGTTGTAGATATCAAAACTAGTAGCGGTGTAACTAGCCGACCCTAGTCTCAATTCAAGACCTTGAAGTCCGGAAAGTGACGACCCTAGTGAAATAACTAAATTAACTCCGGCGCATTTTCCAATTGAGTCGCCTGTGCTAGAACCAGCAGAACCTGATATTTCTGACTCACATATTTCGTACGTTAATCGTTGAAAACGACTCAGAATCATTACACAAAAATTTTGCCCTAGACGGAAAACTGAATACTTGACCTAAATATCAGGGTTGTAGATATCAAAACTAGTAGCGGTGTAACTAGTCGACCCATTACCAAAGTTGTCAAACTTTTTCCCTTTAATTAATAAACTTGGTACACACTTCTCCTCACGTATAGATATGGCGGCCTACCTACCTAACTTAACGAGAAAGAGAGACCCACCAGCCGGCGACTGCAACGGAAAGTCCACATCAGCAAGGTGAGCGGCAACGTCCACAACAACAAGAGTAGCGCCCACAAGAACAAGACTCGACACAGAGAAGAAGACAGCAGTCTAGAAGCAGGTGGGGTCGACGGGAGAGCCTAAGAAAATGGCCGGGTTTCCGGCAGTATTCCGCTATTAACACTTGCCCCAGGTTCGCCCCCATACCAATGTTACGAAACAATAGAACGGAGAGGGTACTGCTGTAACTGTCTGGCAAGAAGTCATTTGGCACCCGTTTGACGGGCTGTCGAAGGTGCCATTACGTACGTACGTACTGCATATATTTATTCCATTAAGCATTGGAAACGTCACAGTCGAAGACAGGTTGTCTATGGCGCTGCAAATCACTATTAATCATTCGAACATCCCCCGTCGTGGCGGTGAAAAAGTGCTAAGTTACAAATACTTAGGTAAGTGGCCAAATAGTATAAGTGAAAAAATAGGAAAATATTGAACTGAGCTACTTACCTCCGGAAACATACCTTGGTGAACTGTAATACTTATCATTTGCAGAAATTGTTCATAAACCTAAATTAAAAATAGGAAAAATATCGAAGTGAAATATTTACACCTGAAAATCAACCTCCGTGAATTATAATACGTACCTTTTGCATATTTTTTAATTAAAAACTGAAAAAAGTTATTTTTGTGGAAAAAAATAAAAACTATCCGCGTAATTTGAAAACATGGGTATTAATATTGGTACTTAGAATATACTAAATTATTTATTTAACTGTGTGCCAGGTTTAATCAACTCACCTACCTATTTTGTTACATTTTCTTATTATTTTAAACAATTTTAAATTTCCGAATTTTGGGATGAAGTTGTATAAATATGACTTAAACCCGTAGCATATTGACCTTTCTGCAACGCCGACACGTGCTCTGCGTAGGCATTCTCGTTCCGATTATGCCAACAAATTGCTTTGTTTTTACCCATGGCTAGTTATATGATCTTGAATATAACATATATTGTGTATTGTATATATACATATATTACATAAACACTATATATATATATATATATTGCATTTCCTTCACAGACCAACATTTTATTAGATTGTTTGAATATTTTATTTTGTTAACAATATTTGCCAATTGCGTTGCCCTTGCTGTATACACTCCATACCCTTCTGGAGATTCGAATATTACTAATCAAATGCTGGTAAGTTTTGAAAACAGCTATGTGTTTCTTTCTTTTCCAAAAAATGTGTGTCTTCGTGGATTTTTCGCAGGAAAATGCAGCGCGCACAACCATACAACGGAGAGAATAATAACTTTACCACTCCGTTTGTATATACTCATGTCAGACGTATGTTAGAGGCAGGTATATCCCTCGATCAGCGTAGAATTCTACGTCGATTTAGCATTGTCTGTCTATCTATCTTGTTGTTATCATGATATCTTTCCAACGAATTGAGATAAAAGATTATTTTGTGTATTTTGTCTCTAGAATGTTATGTTTGTAAATGGGCTACGTCGGTCCATGTAACGTGTAGCAAAACGTTGTCAATATGACGAATTATACTTAAGCTTTTAATGGGTTCTACCTCCTGTGGTCGAAAAATGTCTATGTAGTCCCCATGTAACTGTACCTTTCCATGATTAAATCCACATTTTCAAATGGTATTGCAAAGTTATCGTATTTAGATTCTACCGATGTGTCAGGTCATTGCCTATACGTCCGTACATTAAGTATTCTGATGATTTTACCCACTTTTTTATGGGAATAAGTTAGTATTCGATATCGAGATTTTGTAATGCGTATCTGGTTTTTGTGACAGAAGATTGCCGGACTAGGCTCATTATTACTCATCACTCCCGAATATATGTAATTTTGGCGTTTTTAGTCACCGTTTTAACATTTTTTTTTTGTAATTTGATATTTGACACTTTGACAACGACTTTGTCAGGAAACCGGTACCATCGATCAAGAATATATATATATATATATATATATATATATATATATATATATATATATATATATATTTTTTTTTTTTTTTGTAGGTGTAAAATGAATATTTCGAGTATAAAAAAGTATTGGAATGTGTGAAATGTTAAGACAGTCAGAAGTTAATTTCGCATTTTAGGAACGCTTTTATTCCGTCCCTTTTTGGAGGAGGTACCAGAAGTAGTGATCCGTTCTTTATACAAGATCTTGTGTTTGTAGAAGTATTGAGATTTGCGGACTATTACTTAACGTTTTATAAGAGTTAAAATCATTCAAAAATTTGACCCTTTGTGGGTTAGGTACCAGAAGGAGTGACCCGATCTACACCATCTTCACACACAATTTTGTTTAAAAAGAATCGGATGTTTATTTTGCATTTCGTGAGGGTTATATATTCCAAATTTTGACCTGTTGTGGTGGAGGTAGAAGAAGGAGTGGTCCGACATTGTAAATTTTCGTTAAGTTTAATTATTTTCTATACAATTTTGATTTTTGTGTGGGAGGGTCCACAAGGAGTTGACCGATACTGTCCATCTCTGATCTGGATCGGCCAAACCAAATCAAACCAAAATTAACAAACATTAAGTTCTACCGTGCCGAACTTGCAATACCCCATCAATCCATCTTTGGGTAAGAAAATATTTTTAATTAAAAGTATCTGAATTCAAACGTTCGACTTTGAACTACAAATACCAGTAAGACCGTTTAGATAATGCTGTTAAACTTTTCAAAAACCATTATGTGGGCGAGCCCGTTGTTTGGAGCCCATACCAAAACTGAAACATCTATGCAATGTTATACTTCAAGGATTATCATCTACCAAATCTTCTTAAATACCAATTTTTGAAACAATTTCGTAGGTAAATGTGACTAGGATTATCAAAATGTAGAATATCGGTGGGTATCGGAGCTAGAACCCAATTTGAACTAGAAATATCAATATTTAGACAAATCCATGGAAAAATAAGGCAAAAATCATCAAAATGCGGAATAACCAGAGTTACCATTAGTTTGCGCTATACACAAGCATGGTCCTATACAGTCAATGCTTCGACACCGGAGCTAGAATCCATTATGACCTACAAATACCAAAAATTCGTAAAAAAAATATCCGGAGGTACCATTTTATGACTTATAACGTTGACTTATACATACTATGTTCCGCCACAGAAGCTAAAACCCATTATGAACTACAAACACCAATTTGGATCGGGAGATACCTTTAAACGGGGGCTATAAAAAAACTTAGTCGTATACATACAATGTTTCGACACCGGAGCTAGAATCCATTACGAACTACAGAAACCATTTTTTGGACAAATTCAATCAAATCAAAAATCCGCAAATATTATTAAGATACTTAATATCGGGAGGTACCGTTATGTGGGGCTATACCAAAATGTGAACCTATATTAACCAAGTTTCGCTACTGCATCTATAACCTATTAATAACTACAAATACCAATTTTTAGACAAATCCGTGGGTAAATGTGGCAAAAATCATTAAAATACCGAATATTGGGGGGTGCCGTTATATGAAGGCTATACAAATACAATGTTTCGCCACCGAATATAGAGAAATCAGTGTAAGATGTGGCAAAAATCATAAAAATACGGAATGTCGGGAGGTACAGTTATAAGGTTGTTTATACAAAAAACGTGGGCCAATACATACAACGTTTCGTCACCGGAACTGGAACTTACTATGACCTAAAAATACAAATTTTTAGACAAATCCGTGAAAAAATGTGGCGAAAATCATCAAATTATTTGCAATTTACCTCTTTCATGTACTAAAGTTATAACATTCCATTTTGTTCCTTATTTGAATTTAAAATGAAATTGATGTTATTGCCTTCTCTTCTCATATTTTATTTACTGAACTTTGAGCATTGAAAGAGTATTCAATAAACTAGTTAGTAGTGAATACTGTTAATTAGAGAAGAAGTCGTTTATACAGTTTATAAAAAGTAATGTTTTCTTTATTCTACACCAAAAAGAACATCATGTCTCAAAACGGCAAATCAGTTGAGAATAATTCCATTCATAAAGCGCCGTCCTCAAATTCACCAAAACCAAATGATTATCAGTACCTTGCGATCAGAGAGGACTTCGTACCACGTGATGCCCGAATTAAACAACACAATCAATAAATTTAATGGGAAGTTGTTACCAACAGAAGCGAAGGATTGGCTTATGTCAATATATGGAATTGGTAATATGAATAACTGGACTGATTCTTTTCGTTCACAATGCGCCCGCAAATCACTTTCAATGATATTATTGCTAATATTCACGATTGTATTGATGCTGGTTGCGCTGAAGGAGACGATACCGCAGCTTATGTGATTGAACATAGGTTTTCCCAAAAAGAGAAGCCAAATGGTGAGGAGATTTGAAGCAAATGTGGTAAATTGGGGCATTTTGCTCTTTTCTGCACGATTGAAACGTCAAAGCTTAAATGTGAAGGAGTTGGTCACGTAAAAGTATTCTACAATGCACCCATTAAATGTTAACGTTATCATAAAGAGGGTTAATACATTACCAAAAACAAATGTCAAATTATGGATAAAGGAAGCAACAGTCATTCCTCCTAATTATGTTGGAGTTATATCCATATACTGTGATTTCCCCCAAATAGTTGATTTTTACATATAGAACCATTAAAATAAAATTGTCGCTGATGCAAAATTGTCAAGATTAATCCCTTTATTATTGTTTTTATAAAAACAACGTTTGTTTATTAGTGTAGAACGATAGTAATATTTACCTGGGGGTAGGGCAGGGAATAGCTAGGTTTCGGAAAGAGTCACAATTCCTCATCAGTTCCCTTGTTTTTTTGTCTGGGATAATCTCTCCAGAAGTTATTTTAAAAATAAATTCTATGACCAAAAACTTTTTTTACCTAAGTCACGAGATCGTAATCTCAATAGAAGAGAACTAAATAATTACATAAAACTAAAATTCTTTTGTACAGTCTTCATTTTCATCTTTTTCCACTTGCTATGCTTTACATGAACGAAGTAGCATAATCATGTAAGTTGGTCTTGTCTGTTACAACAAAAACCCCTTCGTCGACCATGCCTTGTCTATCAATAGAACAGTGTTGGCCTGTTTGTTCGGAATACCATAGTATTTTGTTGTTGCAAAATGGTCAGGCTTAAAATGTTCACTCTTATCCCGAACTGTGTTGTGAGCAGTGAAACAGGTGAGTGTTCTCTCTTGCTATTGAATAGCACCAGAGCAGACATAAAGTTTGAAAAAGATGAAAAAATGTGGGATGATATGTATTGAGAATAGCTGCGATAGTGAAGTAGAAGACAGCAATAATAGAAGTGAGAACAGCTTACTAACGGCAGCGGCAGAAGAATTCGATGTCAATTCAATTGAATAGGCGACAATGTTTGCACGGAGTGAGTGAGAAAACTTAGGAGAATAGTTTTAGAAAATAAAACTTGTTTCTCTTATCAGTTGAGTGTTTTTGGAACAACTCGATACCTTGAGTCCGAAATAGAGGAGATAGAGAACTTTTTTCTTGTCCCTATCCATTGAGTGTTTGTGAAAGAGAATATTTGAGAGAAAAGATTCAAACAGTGAAGAAGCAGGATTCTACTTGTCAGAAAGAAAAACGGAGAGCGAATAATTTGCATAAATTACAGGGTTTTAAATAAAATAACAAAGAAAATGCAATAGCGAAGTTGGAAAATCATCTAAACTGATCTCCCATTCCAAAGATCCATACATAATCACTGAAGTTTTGCCTAATGACTAATATATTTGGTCTGCTAAGAACTCAAAAGAAATGTAATGGAGTGGTTGCTGTTGAAAAATCTAAAAGGATAGTAACACATGAAAATGAAGCAAACTACAACATTAGAGAGTAAATCGCCAAGTGTTCTTCGTGGGAGTAAAATTATAAAAGAGAAGGCAAAACAAACAAGTAAAAAGTTGTAAGTTCGGCCGGGCCGAACTTTGAATACCCTCCAACATTTGGTACAAATTTGGCAATATTCAAAAGAAGAAAATCAATGAAAAATCTGTTAAAATTTTAAAAACACCGAATGTTGCAGTATATTAGTTCCATATGACGACGTGGACCTGCATAAGCAAATTTGTCACAAGCTATTACAATATTCAAATGCGAAACTTGAAAAAAATCTGTTAATAATGTAGCTAAAATCATCAAAATATAGGGAGGTACCATGGGATTATAAAACGTGGAGCTGCACAGACAATTTTCTGGCATAGGCTGTTGTATCCATTACTAACTTTAAATACAAAATTTGAAATAATTCCGCTAAATAATGTCGCTAAAATCATAAAAAATATAAAATACCGAATATCAGAAGGTACCGTTATATGGGGGGTATACGAAGACGTGGACCTGCACAGACAATTTTCCGTCATATGCTGTAGTATCCGTTACGAACTTAAAATAACAAATTTGAAAAAATTTCGGTAAATAGTGTCGCTAAAATCATCAAAATACCGATTTTCGGGGGGTACCGTTATATGGGGGCTATACGAAGACGTGGACCTAAATGACCCATTTTCTGTCTTAAGCCGAAGTATCTATTACTTACTTCAAATACCAAATTTGAAACAATTCCAGTAAATAATGTCGCTAAAGTCATCAAAATACCAAATATCGGGAGGTACCGTTATATGGGGGCTATACGAAGACGTTTTCAAGTCCTGCAGATATAATACATATTTGAGTAAAATTTCATCAAACTACTTCATTTTGTTCGGAAGCTAGAGTGATTTCCACAGACGGACGAACATATTTAAAGCGGATTTACATAACGGCTACTGTGACAATTAAAATCCCCACGACTCGGAAGTACAACTCTATGTTTTTACAAGGAAAGCCAATTCTAAAAATTCCTGACGACGGCCATATAGAGAATTCTCCCGATGATATTCAGTCCGAAGAAGGTATATTTTTGGAAAGCATGCCAGATCAAATTTTAACCTTTTCAAATGATACAAATGAAACGCTACAATTACGGAGATAAATAGGGAACCTGCTGCAAAATGTTCAAAACAATGAAGGAGTTCAGGAACCAAAAACTTTTACAGAGAACAATAAGAACAGAGTGGATTAAAGCAATGAAAGAAGAAATAACGTATTTTAAGAAACTGAATACTTGAGAGCTTGTGGTATCTTTGAGGAATGTAAATGTCAGTAGCTCAAAGTGGACAAGATTCAAAGCACGTCTGGCATCGCACGGACGATGTTGTCTGTACCATGAGCAAAAAAATATCAGTTTTTCATATCGATGTAAAATCAGCGTTTTTGTTTATATATGAAACAACATAAAGAATGCATATGGATTAGACGACTATTAAGCGATAGGCAAACTAGCCAAGGATTATCAAGAACAATACTTGAAGAAAATCAAAGATGCTTACCACTCATTAAGAAGGAAAAACTCAGAAACAGAACCAAACACATTTTATGAAGCATCACCTTCAAAAAACAAGGAATACATAGCTAAAATCATCGAAATACCGAATATATGTAGGTACCATTATATGGGGGCTATACCAAATCGTGGTCCTGCACAGACAATTTTCAGTTTTCGTTGATATATAGAGGACCTTTAATAATGCCACAATTTACGCCATTCATAATTCTCTCACTGAACTTGGTATACCACTACTCCTCATTGAATGGATTGATGTTATGCTCAGCAGCAGAATCATCAACTCAAGCATAGGGGAGTGCTCCGTCAGTCGAGTTTTAACCAGTGACTTTGAAACAATGGACATTCACAGCAGAGACACTTGGACCCAGAACACTCCACCTTTCAGCGGTATAGCTATGTATACCGACGGCTCTAAAATGGAAAGTGGAACGGGTGCAGGCGTTTTCTGCCAAAGCGTGAATATCCGGAATTCATTCAAACTCAATAAAGATTGCAGCGTATTCTAGACAGAAATTTTTTCTGCTGATTTATTTATTTTATTGCTGATGAATTGAACAGTTGTACTGAATGGACCGGTGGCTATATATGTCGATAGTCAGCAGTCCTGAAAGCGCTAAATTCATCCACCATCAAATCTATTGCAGTCCTGGAATTCCTGTTTATAGCAACATCTCTGCACAGAGCCGAAAATACAATGACTTTTTTAACCATGTGCATGGTTAATGTTTTCATGGTAAATGTTTGAGATTAAAAACACAAAATAACGATATAAGGTCAAATGTAGATGAAAAATAGTTTAATTAACGTTGTATAAGGTTGTTGTTTTTGAGAGAGACGGAAAAATGTGAGAGATACATAAAAATTTGAAGAGCCTTCGGCTCTGTTGTGGTCAACAATTTTGAACTGCTTTGTGTTTGACGAAGTTCAATATTACAATATACGAAGTTGCAACGAATGTGACTGTCATATTCCCCCTCCTCCTCTTTATCGAATCTCTTTCTGTGGTCTGAATATGTGTAAGAAAGATCAAATAGACAATCACTTCTTTAGTTGGTGTTGAATAGTGCAAGGGAGTAGTGCACGTGCTCGTGGGAATAGTGCTTGGTATAAAGGTAAGTAAAAGCTGGGGAAATTAACAAATATATTTGATTGTAATTTGTATTTGTTTTAATAGAAAACCCTGATACTATTTCAACATAGTAATGTGTTATTGCTATATTCAAATTGTATCAGATTTGTCTATCAAATAAACTATAAATTACAATAAAGAAACAAAAATAATGGTAATACATGAAAAAACAAGCAACAACAACGTATATGCAGCGAGAAGAAAAATTGAGGAGAGAGATAATGTGTGAGTGTTTATTCATACATATGTGTTCTTTTTGTCTTTGCTTGTGGCTGCTACGACGTACATTAGCGTATGCATTTGTCACCAAATGTACGTTGTTGTTGTTGTTGAAGCGACAGTGTTGATATTTATGTATATCTTTTTGTTTTTTCTTCTCAGTTGTTTTTTTCTCTGGTGTCTTTTTTTTTTTTTTGGGTGCTCGTGCGTACATTTTTGGTAAGTTGTGACAATACTATTTGCTTTTATTAACTACTAGTTTCTTCTTCTGTTTTTGCAGTCGGTGTTTGGCATTTTGTAGTTTTTTTCACAATGGCTGAGGAATATAATTTAAAATCACTCGGTAAGGCGTTAAAACATAAAATTTATATTAAACATATATCTTTCTTTACCAGCCCTCCCTTAAATATACATACAATTTGTAATGGAAATACATATTTTAGAAATATGCGGTATTAATAAATAAATAAAAAATAAACTTGTAAAAATTACACTTTTCTTGTTTTATTCAAACAAAGGTTAATTTTTTATTAAAAATTATCATATGAACTGTTTAGACCAACTGACTATGAAATGTTATTATTAACAATTCTCATGGTTACAAAAATTTAACAGTGCATTGTTAAAACAACAATTTTTTTTCAATATCAACAATTTTCGTGGTTAAAAAAATCAATCATGGAATAGCTAAATTAACGATGATTATTTTTAAATACCAGTCAACAAGAAAATGTTTAAATTAACCTTACATAACGTAGACTCCAAATCATGTTTATTTATGGTTAAGCGAACCTTGTATAAGGTTAATTTTTTTCTCTGTGTGGCAATGAAGCTGCAGATGAATTGGCCAGAAGCGGCTCCGAGTAAACTGTTCTAAAGATTGAGAGCTCGGTAAAACCAACCTTGTGTCACTTCTTCCAGATTATACACAAACACTATTCTGAAAGATTTTAGCATAACATATTGTAGCCTTTGTCAAGACGAGGAAGAAATAGAAACTGCGGAGTACTAACACTGTCCATGTCCAACTTTTGTTAGAGTCAGACTGGGCCTCACGGGTAAGCAACCTCAGAATGACCTGTCTTCACTCTCCAATACTCAGCCGTCAATTATTCTTCAGCTTGCTAGAAGACTGAAATGGCTGAAGACAACACGATAAATTCGTCGTGGATATACCTTGGAAAGAAGGTATATTAACTTTCTCATACGTTTCGTAACATCCCTAAATATTCATCGTAGACCCCATAAAGTATATATATTCCTAATTAGCTGGCTGGCCGTCTGTCTGTTGAAATCACGATATAGTCGAAATTTTTTGAAGTAGAGCGTCAAAATTTTGTCGAACAATTTGTATTGTGCCTAGGATGGTTGATATTAAAAAATGAGATATATCGGCCCACGTTTTGGTATAGTCCCCAGTTGTTGATTTTTGCCAAACATTTTCACGAATTTTTTTTTAAAAGTTGGTATTTGTAAGTCATACAAAGGCTCCTTGGAAAGGACGGTATATTATATATATATATACTAAGTCGATTTAACGATGTCCGTCTGTCTGTCTGTTGAAATCACGATACAGGCCACATTATTTGACGTAGTGCGTAAAAATTTAGCCGAGCAATTTGTATTGTGTCTAGGATGGCTGGTATTGAAAATGACATATATCGGTCCAAGTTTTGGTACAGTCCCCATATAACGGTACCTCCCGATATTCGGTATTTTGATGATTTTTGTCACATTTTTTCACGGATTTGTCTGAGAATTGTTATTTGTAGGTCATAATTGGTCCTAGTTCGTGTGGCGAAACATTGTTTGTATACGTCCACGCTTTGGTATAGCCTCCATATAACGGTATATCCCGATATTCAGTATTGTTATGGTTTTTGTCACATTTTTTTCACGGATTTGTCTAAGAATTGTTGTTTGTAGGTCATAATTGGTCTTAGTTCGTGTGGCGAAACATTGTATGTATAGGTCCACGTTTTTGTATAGACCAACATAGCGGTACCTCCCGATATTCGGTATTTTGATGATTTTTTCCACATTTTCCCACGAATATGTCAAAAAATTGGTTTTTTGTGGATAATAAATGGTTCTAATGTTTCCATTACACTACACTGAAAGAAAAATGATTCGTTGTATAAATGAATCGGTTTCGTTGATTTTTTTCATTGATGCAATATATTTTTTTCATACATTAATATAATAAATGTTTTGTTCAGGCAATGAAAACTTACGTTGCTTTTAAATTCAATGATTTTTGGTTTCATTGAAAATATAAAACGGATTTCATTAATGTTACGAAACTACTTATTTTTACAAAATTTAGTAAAAAATGTGAATATAGAAATGATACATAACAGCGCTGTCTTATACAAACAAATACGCAACCAAAGGGAAAATTGTGATAATTGTTATATTTAAATTTGTGCTCCAATTTAATGAAGCAGTTTGATGAAATGGATGAAACGTTGCGTTATGGAGTTAGTTCTTAGGCCAAACAAATAATAGATGGAAAATTTCATCTCAATTGGACAATAAAGGCGATAATTTTGTTCATAAAAATACATTGGCAGACGGTCAGACTTATTGACATGCAAAAACCGACCCAAAACGTGAGTTTATTAAGATCATCCAAAAAAAGTAGTAGCACAACGACAAATTACCCTCTACCAGAGTGTGGTGTAGGTATTAAGAAGTAAAAACCAACAAAGTTCGGCCGGACCGAATTTTTAATACCCTCCACCATTTTCATTTCACTGAATCGAGGAAGAATTTTCATTATATTAATGAGCAATTTCGTTAATTTTACATAATTGAAACTTTTTTAATTTATTCAATAAACCTCTATGTTGGTTCAAAATCAACAATAAATTTCATTGCCGGAACGTAGGATTTCATTTCTGGTGTGAAGCTTTTCCTTTCAGTGTAAGGTGGAGGGTATTAAAAGATCGGCGCGGCCGAACTTAATGTTCTTTTACTTGTTTTATGTATATGTTCACGTTTTGGTATAGCCCCATATAACGGTACCTCCCGATATTCATTATTTTGATTATTTTTGCCACATTTTTTCACGGACTTGTCTAAAAATTGGTATTTGTGGGCCATAACGGATTCTGGCTCGTATGGCAAAACATTGTATTGATAGATGGCAACCCTTGAAGTATAAAATTGTCTATAGAGGTTTCCATTTTGGTATGGCCCCATATAACGGCCTCCCTTACTTTAGGGTTTTTTGATAAATTTAACTGCATTATGCAAAAGATCTTACTGGTATATGAAGTTTTAAGTGAAATACGCCTGAAAAAAGTATAAAAGTATCTCCACTTTTATATAAAAATAAGTAAAAAAAACATTAAATTTGGCCGGGCCAAACTTTTAATACCCTCCACCTAAGGGTAAGGAAATATTAGAAGAAATGTGGCAAAAACCATTAAAAAGCCGAATATCGGGAGGTACCGTTAGATGGGGGCTATACCAAATCGTGCACATACACATGCAATGTTTCGCCAAAGGATCTAGAACCCATTATAACCTACAAATATCAATTTTCACACAAATCCGTGAAAAGATGTGGCAAAAATTATCAAATTACCGAATATCGGGAGGTACCGTTATATGGGGCCTATACCAAGTCGTTTAACTATAATTACAATGTTTCGCCACAAGAACTAGGACCCATTATGACCCACAAATACCAATTTATAGACAAATCAGTGAAAAAATGTAGCAAAAACCATCAAAATACCGAATATCGGGAGGTACCGTTATATGGGGGCTATACCAAATCGTGCACCTACACATGCAATGTTTCGCCAAAGGAGCTAGAACCCATTATAACCTACTAATATCAATTTTCAGACAAATCCGTGAAAAGATGTGGCAAAAATTATCAAATTACCGAATATCGGGAGGTACCGTTATATGGGGCCTATACCAAATCGTGGACCTATAATTACAATGTTTGGCCACACGAACTAGGACCCATTATGACCCACAAATACCAATTTATAGACAAATCAGTGAAAAAATGTAGCAAAAACCATCAAAATACCGAATATCGGGAGGTACCGTTATATGGGGGCTATACCAGAACGTGGACCGATATATCTCATTTTCAATACCAATCATCGTGATTTCAATAGACAGACGGACAGACAGTCGGACATCGTTAAATCAATTTAGAATTTTATGCTGATTATGAATATATATACATTATGGGGTCTACGACGAATATTTAGACATGTTACAAACGGAATGACAAAGTTAATATACCTTTCTTTTCAATGTGGAGAGTATAAAAATGTTTACATTACCCTAGGGAGGAGGATTTTAAAATTGCGGCCGGGAAGAACTTAATGTTTTTTACTTGTTTAACATAAGCTTTTTATTTTTCTTTCTCTCTTTATTTCTGTAACCTACCTAATCTGCACAGAATATTCTCGGTCTTAAACTGTTGAATCCATTACGAACATTAAATATTTGAAACATATCCCGTGAATAATGTTGCTTAAATTACCAAAATACCGATAATAGTGAGGTACCATTACACAGGGGCTATACCAAACCATGGACCTACATGGGCCATTTTCAATACCAAAAATCCTGCAGACATAAAATATATTTTTGTAAAATTTTATCCACCTACTTTATTTCACTCGGAAGCTAGAGTGATTTCCACAGACGGACGGACATCGCTAAATCGACGTAGAATTTTATGCTGATAAAGAATATACATTTTGGGGTCTAAAATGTATATTTCGAGGTGTTACAAACGGAATGACAAACTTAATATAAGCTTCATACTATGTGAAAGATTCCTGTAAAGTAATGTAAAAATGTCAATAAAAGCAAAATTGTTTGCTCTAGTTGTAAAATGCAAGTACATGGAACCAATGTCTCAATAGATCTCCAGATACAGTGCAGATGCAGAATAAAAATATGACTCTCTGGAGTATAACTATTACATTTTCATGCTAAACGATGTCTCTAAAAGGTGTACTGAGGAAGAATGGGACAAACATTTCTGAGCTTGGAGAGATTAAAGATGCAATGAAATTCATGGCATCTCAGTACGATGAAATTATGAAAGGAGTGTGTTGGGAATCTTCCCAACCCCTTGGATGATGATATCGAAATGGACCTCATCGACCTGGATAAATAATTAATCGATGAGGTCCCATCACCACCAACAATAAAAAACCTACCACTCTTCTTCTTGAAGTAAAAAGAAATAAAAGTGTCGATCGCCAGATCTATTAAATTACGAATAAATTGACCGCCAGCGTCATACGTTTGAATTTAAAAGTTTATTTCTTTGTGTTTTATTTGCAGACAACAAACGTAAGTATCGTCAGAATACTTGTTGTGTTGTCGTAGTTTGCAAATTTATATTGTTGTCCGTCCTGTTCAACAATAATCTTCGATTCTAAATCTACTCAGTAGAATTAGAATCCCTACAAGTCCTTTCGACCGTATCGGAACTTGTACATGG